TTGGGACAGTTATAGGGCTGTTTACGGACTGTTTTTATGGCCTGTTAAGGGCTGTTTTTATGGCCTAATATGGACTGAAATTGTGACTGTTTTTTGGCCATTCATGGACTATTTTTAGGACATTCATGGACTGTTTTTAGGGCCATTCCATGGGCAATTTTTAGGCCATTCATGGACTATTTTTAAGACCATTTCACGGAAATTTAGGGCCATTTTATGGACTGTTTTAGGCCACTTTACGGACTATTTTGTGCTCCGATTAGGGGCTATTTTGTGGGTTGTTATGCGGGCTAGTACATGGGTTGTTGTGTGTTATAATTTGCCTTTTGTGATTAAGTGTGTTATTGACATAAAGATAGTGATAACATGCTTATAATTGTTTTATGAAAAAGTGTCAATGTATATGCATGCGTGTGTTATATTGACATTGTGACAAATTTGATATCTATATGTTTAGAACATAACTTACCATGGATATGTTGAGATTGTTCATATGTCATTCATAGCATATTGAATATTGTAGTGTAGTGCATAGAGGTATCCCATTCATGGGCTTAGGCATGAGTATGGGGTGTGTGTGTGTGTGTGACTTGGGCATGGTTCATTCAAGCATCATTCTTGGTGATTGAAGGGTGGGCTCAGAAAAATGGGATTGAATGTCCTACTGGGTTGCACAGTTACATGCATAAGAAAACTTGTGTCGAGTATAGCAAGTAGGGCTAGACACTCCCTCGGGTGAAAAACCTGGTCACTTCGTTCATACACTTACCGGCGGTGAAATTCCAGAAAAGTGTAACGGCGTACGGAGCCAGAGGTGCGATTCCTGAATCCGATACCCAATAAAGGCACATGATTTTGATATATAAATTATTCATTTGATGGGAAACATCCAAGAATGAAATGGTTTTATGACAAATGGTTGATTTCAAAATGATATTTGGATGTGTTTCATCAAAGACATTGTTTTGCACATATGCATTGCATTGTGTTGTAGGAGTCGGTGAGGATTCAAGTTAAAGTTGCATGAGTAAGTTCCATCTCATTTCATTGCATGGTATGGTGAATTCCAATATAGAGTTGCATATTTTTACTTGGAATGTTGATGTGAATATGAACTGTCAAATGTGAACATTGCATGTGCACTTAGGTGGGGAGTAGCCCTTGTAGGATATACTCTACTAGGCGTTGGCTCACCCTATACGGGAAACATTTCAGGTACGGGTCATACATCGAGGGACGGCACTCACTTGGGCACTTAGAGAGGAAGAAAAGCTGACTTGTGACTTGGGCACTTATAATGCACAGGTTGTGTTTTGAGTAGAGTTCCCCTTACAAAGGAGACTCTGTCCAAATTTTTAATAAATGATGGACCTCGATAAATGGGGCACAACGTTGAGATATTGAGTTACTCGGTATCCACCGGCATTCCGCGGGTTGATGGGAAATCAATGGACCCCCGGATTTTTGGGTGTCACATTACCATCATTTCATTTCCCCCCATCTCCTTGCCTTTTCTTTTGACATCACCCATGTGAGAGTGACACTTCCCTTCATCCATATACTATACATGCTAAAAGGTGATTTTTAGAGGTTAGGAAACTACAAGGAATTTTGCCAAGCAACTGCCACCTTACATCAATTAACTCCCATGTCAATGAAAAGTTAACCGATAGGTTTGATGTATACGTTGAACCATACCACAACAATTGTAGGTTAGCTGAAAGGTCTATGCACCATACAACAAGCAAACAACCCTAATAAACTTGAAGGTGAACCATTCAAAAGGTATACTATGGCTAATCGATAAGCAGGTCTATGATTCAATGAAGACGGAGTTTCGGTTTATGCATTGAATCAAAAGCATTGGCTATGGAAAGACTTAACTCATCTATAACCAATCTCCCGACTGTTAGATAAATTCCAACTATGTGGATCATCATATCATGCATGAAGTACATAATATAGTATAGATGAAATGACAATAAACAGTAAACCTAGCTCGGTACTCATAACCATGAGCATAATCCTAGTTATACGTAGTAATACATAATTCCAAACTAAAATGAAAGCCATCCACCATTTAAGGGATGTATAAACGTTAAAACATAAATAAAACACTTCCATTACTCAAATAATGTTACACATATCTTCACCCTTCACTAAAAAGTAAAAGAAAGACTACTCACCCTTCATTGTTATAGACGAGCAAGAAGAGCAAGAAAATCTCATCCTTTTTTTGAGGTATGTGTCTTCAAAGTAAGAAAAAAAAAAAAGTAACCAATCCTTCCTCGAGAAAAGTTGAAACACCCCCATTTTCCACAACCGAACTAGGGTGAAAAAGTGAGAATGGTTCAACCCTCCAAGTAGAAATGAAATAAAACAAATGTAGAAGAGATAATTTGGCTTAGGGGGTGGAGAGGTTGGGCATTTCTTCCAAGTGTTATAGACCTCCAAGAGGTATTTGAGCGACATACACCGAAGACAGCCAATGGGATGCAAGGGAGGTAAGCTAGACCAATGGGAGAAGATCTAGGGTTGAGGCAGTTAAGGCTACCGTCCAAATGTTACTGCCACCACTATTCGAACGGTCCTCATCCACTAGTGTTTTACATGGAAGCCTCCCTTGTTGACTTGTTGACCTTGGCCACTAATGGGATGGTCCTGTTAGCATCTAGATGGTGCAATGTTGTTGAATTTCTTCTTTGTTTTCCTTTTTTTGTTCTTTTTTGCACTTTAGGCCTCCAATTCTCATAATTGCACACAAGTCCCTACAAACATATTATTCAATCATTAGGTATAATACTTTTAAAATCAAACACTTTAAATCAACTAATGCACACAATTAACCTTGAAACCAAATTTACTAATGCACTTTCTAGGGTTAATCAGCTTGCAATTATCCATGGAATGTTTGGATTCATTTAGATTAACACGTTGATTATACCTTAATAGAATTTGCTAATTAATTATTGCCAAATCCTCCAATTGGATTCACTCCCTAGTTGATTACCAATTGAGATTCTAAATTATAATAAATCTATTACCCACGTGTTCTTGGAGCGGTAACCGATGCCTTAGTATTTCTCCACATTACTTTTCTTAAAAAATTCTAGTTTATTTGTATTAAATTTCAATTACCAAATCACTCTCTCATACACAACATATTTTCTTTTATTAATTTTCTTTCACTCTAAAATCCCGTTTTCCATGTGGTTCGACCTTGGACTCTACCAAGAAATTACTACTTGCTTGTGGGTTTACAACTTCCAAAGCGAACCAAGTTTTTGGTGCCGTTGGCATGGAGGAGGCGCAATTGAGGGGTGATCCATCATCATTTGAGGTTTGCTCAGTTTTTGCATAAGCGGAGATTGGATAAAAAAATTTCACTTTGACATACTTGTCATTTAATTTTCCTGCATTGTATTTTGTTTTGCTACTGCTACTAGTGTTTGTTATTATTGCTTGAACTCTTGGCATAGAGAGATTGGTGGAAGGTTGGTTAGGGAGGATTTTGATTCACTATTTGGAGATTTATTTGATACACTCCCAAGAGCAAATACACATCCTAGGATGAAAAAAAATCACCCAATATGTCAAAACTCTTTGCTATCACCACATCCCCAATTAGCTTAAAACCCACAAGGGGTTCACAATCCTTTCATGCTACAAGCGGACCCACTAGGGGATGATGCTAGGAGTAATCATGGCGACAATGAAGACTATGAGGAAATGAACAATGGACATGCTAATGTGAATGTCAAGAAAATTGAGAGAATACATGTATCCCATTCGTTACACTACACCTTCATGCATTATTTTTCATAGTATTTTTCATATGCAAGATCATCATTATATCTTTAAACTAGGCATGATTGCATTGTTGCCTAAATTCCATTGTTTAGATTCTGAAACTCCTTACATTCATATCTATGATTTTGAGGAGGTTTGTGCCACATTCCAATACTTGACAGTTATGGAGGGAATAATCTGTTTGAAGCTTTTTCCCTTTTCACTAATGGATAAAGCTAAAACGTGGTTAAACTCCCTTAGGCCGAGGTCTATTGGAACATGGCAGGAAATGCAAGAAAAGTTCCTTAAAAAGTTTTTTCCAACTAAGAAAATAGAAACTTTGAAGCGAAAAATCATGATTTTTTTCTCAAAGCGACAATGAAACGTTTTACCAATATTAGGAGAGGTTCAAGGAACTACTTGCATCATGCCCTCACCATGGATACTAGAGTTGGCTGATTATAAGTCTTTTCTATGAGGCTTTGTTTTCCAAAATGAGGCAATTTGTTGAAATTATATGTAATGGGAGTTCATGGCTAAAGAACTAGAATAGGATTTTGATTACTTTGATTCTTTGGCCAAAAGTGCCCAAGCTTGGGACACTTAATCCCCCGATTCTAAGTCTAAGACGTCAAATGCACCATTAGGAGGAGGAAGTATCAATTGAAGGAGGAGGATGAGTTAAATGCGAGGATTGCAATTTCGACTAGGAAGATTGAGGGCATGGAGATGAAAAAGGGGAATGAAGTTCAAACCATGCCCTATAATCCCCGGTTTGAAGGAGGTCTTGAGATGCAATGAATGTTTTTCAAAGCCCTAAACAACCCCTAGTTGGAGAAATGATAATGCCACACAACAATCTCCTTCCTTACCATCTCCTCAAGGACCATCCAATTTTTTTCCCTATACACCACCCAAGAGGTCTTTGGATGACCGTTGGCAACAATTCATCTCTATTCAAGCCATAATGAATACCCCAACCACTCAAGCCCTTGGTAAATTGACCCAAAATTTTACTCAACAACAACAAGTCATTAATGATATTTTGAATAAAATTATCAAGTTAACCAAAGCCCCTTGCCACCAAGAAAAAAAAATTGGCACAACCTCAACCAAATCCACAAGGCCAACTCCAAGTGGAAGTTTCTTCTTCTACATCGGATGCCACTTAAGAGCAAGTAAAGGCTATCACTACCCTAAAAAGTGGAAAGGTTATAGATAAGACCATCCCCTTCAAGGCTCACGATCCTAATGAGAATGAGAAGACCACTAGGGAAGATGAGGGTGATGACCATGTTGAGCCTAGCATAGAGGATGTGCCTAGTGAGGCACGTAGATGTCTGATATCCGCACCTTTTTCTCAAAGGTTGGTTTCACTATTAAAGGCTAATGTGAGTTCTGAGACTTTGGAAGTGTTCAAACAAGTCTAGATTAATATTCCATTGCTAGATGTCATCAAGCAAATTCTAGCATATGCAAAATTTTTGAAAGATTTGCGTACCATCAAGAGGAAGCTTAATGTTCAAAAGAAAACCTTTTTAACTGAACAATTATCTTCCATCATGGAACATAATACCCCTCCAAAATACAAGGATCTTGGTTGTTCCACCATTGCATGTGTCATAGGGAAATACAAAATAGAACAAGCATTACTTGACTTAGTAGCTAGTGTGAATTTTCTTCCCTATTCAGTTTATCAACAATTAAGACTTGGGGAGTTAAAACCTACCTATATCAGACTTCAATTGGCAGATAGGTCAATTACTGTTCCAAAGGGGTATGGTGGAGGATGTTTTGGTACAAGTTGATAATTTTTACTTTTTAGTTGACTTCATTATTCTAGACACTCAACCCATTGTGAATGCAAATGCACAAATTCCCGTCATTTTAGTTCACCCATTTCTTACTACATCTAATACTTTTATAATTGCCGAGATAGAGTGATGAAATTTTGTTTTGAAAATATGACATTAGAGTTGAACATCTTCAATGTGTGTAAGCAACTGGGTGGTGTAAGTGATGACTTGCATGAAGTTAACTTAATTGATTGAATTCTACATGATTAATTTAATGGTTCTTCTTTCTTTGATTTTCTTAAAGCATGTTTACTTGACAAGGCTAAATCATTTCTAGATTTTGATGAGGATAAGGATGCGGTAGGTGAGCTTAGTAACTTGTTAAATTCTTTATAGATTTTTGAGACAAGAGAATGGAATTCCCGCTTTGAAAAACTTTCACAAGAGACCACCCCTCCAATCCCTTCAAGAATTCAAACACCCAAGTTGGAATTGAAGCCCTTGCTAATGGATTTGAAGTATGTTTTATGATTAGCACAAAATATTGCATATTTTTTATGCTTGTTATGCCCTTTTATAGTTGCTTTTGTTGTGAATTTGGGGAGAAATGCGTTTAATCTTCTCTTTAATGAAATCTTGTGTGAACGTAGATGAAGAATTGCAAATGACTTGAGTTAAGCCCCCATTGAAGTGCTTAAAGACAATGGAGTTGAAAGAATAGCTTAAAGGAAGGATTGGAAGGTGAAAAAACCAAAAAAAAAAGGCAAATTGGATGAAAACCTTCTGGAAGGTTGGGTTACAAACCTTCCGGAAGGTTTTTAATTTGAACTGCCTAATGCCCTGGCAAAACCTTCTGGAAGGTTTGGCTTTCTGGAATAAACCTTCCGAAAGGTTTACATTGACCTTCTAGAAGGTTTGGGGCCACTAGACAACTTTCTCCTCTGTTCCTACACAAACCTTCCAGAAGGCTTCCATAGACCTTCCAAAAGGTTTTGCCCAGAAATGCCTAACAGCCTGCAACTCAAGCTCTGCCACTTGGAGTCCCATATGTGATCCTCCCACTTGTCCCCTGACATCTCTTATAACATACATGCCTCCCCCTTGCCTAAGCTTGGACTTTAGAGGTTCCAGCATTAATGAGGAGGAGAGAGAAAAGGCAATCCAGGGAAGTTGTAGGCTAGGCTTGTCCTAGTCTGCCCAAGCCATCAACTCAGCCTCCTATGGATAGGAGGCCTGTCACACATGCTATAGCACCTCCATGGATGAAAATGGAGAGAGGACTTCACATTGTAGACATATAGAGAGAGGCTCTAGGAGGAAGACATAATTTTTAGAAGAAGTGAGATTTTTGCATTTTCTTTACCCATTTTCACTTGTAATCTTCTTGAATACTCTTGTAAGCTTCATTTATTGTCTTTAATGTCATTTATTTCAAGTGCATTGTAAGTTTAGTTACACCTTTTAGATTATACCATTGTTATATGGAGTTTCCTTCATTTCAAGCTTTTGAAATGGGCATTAAATGCATTTTTTCATAGTTTAAGTTTTCTTGCATCAAACTAAGTTCCAATCTTCATTTCTTCACAATGTCTCTTCACTTCATTTATGTTCTTGCATTAAATATGAGTAGCTAAGCTTTAGGTTGCCTAATTTCTTGATGTTTTCTATTGTATTTTCTAGTCTCTGGACATTATCCCTCAATTGTGTATGGCTTATAGGAATGGGGGGAGTGTCACTCTCCCTCACAATGATGCAAGAAATAGGAAAAATAGAATAGTGGTGGATGAAATGAACAAATGTGTGCCATGTTGTGAACAAAAGTGCTCCCCAAGCGCAAGGATTCTTTTGAATGTCATGTTTTACTTGGAAAAGTATTCCAAGGTCGTCTCCTCTGTAAAACCTGAGTAAATTTAAACTTTTTATAAAAAGGGCAAAACGGTAATTTGTCACTACAGTACGGGTTATAAATCTAAAATTTTCTAGATCTCGGATGATGACACGAACCTCACCGTTGGATTCATCTTGCGAAATCTAGTTACCACGTCAAATTTTATCGAATTCTGAGATAGTCAGACTTTTTGCGTTTTACAAGGCGGTCGAGTCTCAGGTGACCCAAAAATAGAATTTTTGATAAAATTTTAAAATTTGAAAAATAATTTAAGGCAAATTAAAATAAAATTAATTTAAACTTGAACCGAGGCAAAATTTATTCGTTTTGGGATGAAAACGAACCCGGGAAAAAGAGCGCCTTGTGGGCCAAGTATTCTAAGACTATAAATAGAGGGAAAATATGATTTTTGGCCTCATTGTTTGTGTTCAGCCGTTTGCCGATAGAGAAGAGAGGGAAAATAGAGAATTTTTTCACCTTCTCTCTAAGATCTACAGAGATTGAGTGATCAAATTCGCTTGGGCCAAGAAGGAGAGTTGTTCTGCTCGATTTTGACTACAAATCCATACCAAGGAGGTCGAGTTTGGATGAGATTCCAAGGACGGGATTTTTGGGAAGTAGAGGTTCTAGCTTGTTTTGGGTCCTTGAAGCTTTCCAACGTCGTTTTACGCTCCAAGAGGTAGAGTTCTTTCCTACTTTGGTTTATTTACAACCTAGGTTGTCTATATGTAATGGGTGGATTTATAAAATGCTATATCATGTGCCTATGCTTGTGAAATTGATGAAATGGGTATGAAAATGGATATAGAAATGGGTTGAAATAAATTCCTATCTTGGAGTTGATATATGGTAATTACTTTTGTAATTCCATGGAAATGTGATTGTGGGCATGTTATGTGTTTAAAATTATGCCTTGGGGATTGAAGTGTGTTATTGGCTTATATTATGTAATAACATGCTAGTGATTGTTGTTGGAAAACAAAATGTATATGTTTATTGATGTATTAACATTGTGATACAGTTGGTAATTGTATGCATGAGATGTAAATTACCATGGGATATGTATATATGTGTTTAAAGTTGCTCATTTGACATTCTTTACATATGTGCATGATATTGAAATAGCAATGGGGCATTACACTGTATTTGCACTGAGAAATCGCATCCATAGCCAGGTGTGTGTGTGCATAATTGATATCAAACACCAAATAGGTGGATGATGGGTGAGCTTGGAAAAGTTAGATTGAATATCCGGCTGAGTCACACGGTTGCATGAAGAAGAATTGGGTCGAGATTAGCAAGAAAGGGCTAGACTATTCCTCGAGTGAGAGACCCAACGATTCGGATATGCCCTTTTGTTGGTATAAGAGCCCATAAAGTGTGTTGGTGTACATGAAACCGTTGGTGGAAGTCCATAAATTCCATGTCTGTTAGGTAACCGTTGGTGTAAGTCCATAAATACCCACCCCAAGAAAGACCCATAAATTTTCAAATAGTCATTGGGTGAGTGAAACCAATGGTGGAGGGCTTGGGAGCCCGATTTTAAAAACCATGGCATTACATTGGGAAAAAGTGCTAGGAGAGGGCTTAGGTTAAGTTGCATGATTGAGTCTCATCTCACTTCATGGCAGGGCATTGCTAAGATTCCAACATCGAATGATATACACTCTTTGGGAATGTTGTTGGTAGTAAATTGTTGCATGAGAGCATTGCATATGCACTTAGGTTGGGGAGTAACCTCTGTAGGAAATACTCTACTTGGCATGGCTCACCCTATACGGGAAAATATTTCAGGTACAGACTACACTCCGGTGAATGGCACTCATTTGGGGCATCAACGATGAAGAAAAATCGGGTTGTGGCTTTTGAAAAAGAAATTTTGTAAAACTTTTGTTTAAATCCCATTTGGCATGTAAATGTATGGAATGGTTGTATTGGACGTTGTATATATTAGATTATATGTCAAAAAAAACATGATTTAGTAAGTTTTGGATGAAAAAGGTAGGTTTTGGAATAGTTTAGAAATCGAAAACAGGTGAATTGGACAAAACTGGACAAAGTGTACCGGTACTGCGTACTAGTACAGTCTGCCTCAAAGGAAAAGCATACCGGTACAGTCTATCCAGAATGCAAACCTTAATGGTACGCAATACCAGTACTGTCTCCTAAAATCTGAAAATTTTAAATTATTTTGCCATGCTTTTGGGCTTTGGTTTCCTTGGTTCCAATGATACAAGTGGACATTAAATGAGGTATATTTGACCTTGGTTGAATTAAATGATTAAAAGAACACGGGTAATACGTGTGAGTTAAAATTCTGGGTAATGGAATAATATTTGCATGATGTTGGATCAAGCGACACTCACGGGCAATTCCCCAGGTTGACGGGTGGTCAACGGATTAAATAATGACCCCCGATTTTAGGGGCGTTACAACTTGGTATCAGAGCATAGGTATACAATTTACTTAGGGTTGTTGGGCATGGGTCTAGGCCATTGCATGCATTGTGCATTCATGATTATCTGATTAGATGGTATGTGTTGTATGTTATGTGATATGTGTTATTTGAATGGTAAAATGTATATGGAAACATGACACTAGGGTTAGAAAACATAACCTTGGAGTCGGAAAACAAGGGAACGGAATAGTTCAAGGTGTAAGCTTGATCCCTAACTTTGGGATACTAAGTTGTTGGTCTATCGTTATT